GAACCTATGTGCCTTCTTTTATGGGAAATATTTACTTAAAATGCTGCAGCTCGTCACTACGTTTTTGACATTTCCGTACATTAGTGCAATTCCTAGTTTGATTATATTTATTGTAAAATGAAGCTACATTTCTTGTTGTCAGCCTAATTTACATGTTGCTATGCAAAACATGAGATAAATACTCTGATTATGGACTTAAATAATAGCATCTTCAATGTTCATCTTCAATTCTACAGTTATATCTACATTTACAGTGTAGTTATCTACTTTTGGTTAGTAGCTTGCAGCTAACTACTTATTTTTTTAAAAAGGGTAACCTGACCGTAGTTGAACTACCGTATTTTCCAGAAGATTTTTTTTATTATTATAAATGTTCTATGATGACATCAAGCATCTAAAGTGCACACAAAAACGGCACAAACACAGAACATATAATGAAACATATTTTTGCATTACTAACTTTCTACTACATCTATTACTAACAATGCCATGTTGACACGGTGCAACTTATATTCGTGTGCAACTTATTTTTTGGTAAATATGGTACTTAAAATGTTGAGGAGCTTGTATCTTGGCAAGCTGCAGCTGTAATGTAGATTCCCCAGCACTGGTTCGGAAAGATAGATGACTTGATGATTAATATAGTGACCTGATGCAGAAGGAATGCAGGCATCAGACTGTGGGACTCTAGAGAGATAAGCTCCCTCCAGGTGAGGTTGAGGTCTGGACTTCACACCATACTTTTAGGGAAAATTTTACATTTTATAGAGTCTGGTAGAACTGTGAATTTCCAGTCCTCTCTGTGGCTTCCCCAACATTTCTTGGCAGCTGAATGCAAACAGAAGAGTTGTCTCCGGGGCTCTCATGTGCTTTCTTTGTGCTCAGAAGACCTAAACAAAAACCAAAAAGGCTTGAGCTCAGCTGAAAGAGCAGATTTCTTCAAGCTAAAGAGGTAGTGGTTATATTTTGGTGATTGCAAATGTTGCTTTCTGTTTCATTTGGAAAGAGATATAAGCTGCAGTGCTCTAGTGTGACACAAGAGACATTGCTTAATAAAACATATCTATGGAATCATCTTTTGGAAAATCAAACCACAACAAAGAAAATCTACAAGATGAGATCTCTTGAATCTCTCATTTAGAAGGCAATGAGAATTTCACTAAAATAAATCAACTTTTTTTCTCAAGAAAACCACTATGATAATATCACACGTGTCACCTCAGAGTTACCGAAGAGATCTCAACATAAGAAACTATAGCTTACTGAGACAACGAAGTCTGCAAGCAAAAGATGTCAGATATCAATTTTTCCAGGACTGAATCCCACAGACCAACATTAGATTTCCTGAGAAATTAACAAGCAATAAATTGCTCTTCTGAGAAGAAACCAAGCTCTGGAGTAGCTAGGATGACACTTGTAGCCTAAATGTTAAAGGGATAGTTCACCCAACAATTTTTATTCTGTCATCATATACTCACCCTCATGTCATTTCAAACCTGTATAACTTACTTTCTTCTGTGGAACAAAAAAAGAAGATTAGTCTAGATCTGTTTAATAAAATCAAGCGTAGCGTTAGTTCTGGCAGCTGACTCTCAGCTGATCCCATCTACCTACAGGAATACGACCTATCTAAGCATTTATATATAAGGTCCCTCAGTATTATCAGCAGTTTTTGCATTGCACAATAGCCAATTACCCTCCTCCATCCCCAGCTCCTCCTCTGTCAGTCAGGATTCAGCCTTCTGATTATCCTTTGAATCAGACTCATTCTAAAATGTATACATACAATTATTGAACTAGTAACGATATCTGCAAGACATTTATGTTGGTTCTGTTCTGTTTACCCTATGGGGTTACCGCTGCTCTCCCTGCTCTCATTCATGCTAGGCTGCATGGATGCGCAGGGAGTTCTTGCCCAGAACAGAACCATACTGTATGCTAATTGTCAATCATCTTTGACGATAGTGGTCCTGACAGAAATATGCTTCCATGTTTCACATTAAATTTCAGGTGGGAATCTTCTCTTTGATATGTAAGAGCACTAGTTATCTTACTGGAATTTGCTATATAAGCTATAATGGAGCTTTGCGATATTTAAAATTGAGTAACTTGCATAAAAACAGCATTCAATGGATCTGTAAGAACTGGATCCTTCCTGCCTTTTGCTACTGCAGTGTTACACAAGACATCCTGTGCCGTGATGCCCCGCGGTGCGACTGGGTCCCCACAAATCTCCAATAGCACTTAAGTTAAAGGAAACAGCATACACAGGTCCATCACTGCTGCAATGCTGCACAATAACTATCCACTGAAATCAACAAAACCAAACACATTTTATCCTTTACAGAATCATGGACATATGACAAAGTCAAAGACCCAACAGGAGGTAAGGAATGGGGGGGGGTCGAAAACCTTGCGAAAGCAAACCCTGAGAGAAATGTTTTTTTTCCAGAATCCTAAGCAGCACTTAAAGAGCTGACATAAAGTGACTGGTGACCAGAAGATACTCCACTAGCTTGTACATTCTACATAATAATTCTTGAAGACATCATCAGGTCTGAGGATTACATATCTATATGCTTTCTTCAGATCAACAGCCTGAACATTCTTTGCAACAATTCTTGCTTGATATTTGATATATACTCTGATATCCAACTCTATCCCAACTGGCTTGACGTCCCCTTTCCTTGCCCAACTTGTCTTTTCTAAACCCTTCGACTCTCCAGTCCACACGTCAAAACCTTTTAAAAACGGATGACGGCCCTCAGCCTATAAAGCACATCCTGGAATCCATCCTCCAACCTTACATGACAATTTGATTTCCATGTCCGAAGTGCCTTAGCAGGTTTGGATGCTTTATCTGTTCAGCTTTGAAGCCTACCCCAAGATACGGTTGGCACTGAATGGTGGTAAGTAAAGAGTTGATGACCCTGTGGGCTTGACCTCATCTTTTAAACACAGAGTTTGCCTTGTGAGAGGCTCAACAGCGCGGTATTGGCTGTATTGCAATGCCACATGGATGAATACCAGGAAGAGGAATGCGAGTTAACTCAAACAACGACAGCCGCACTCAATGATAAGGTCAACTTTGTGAGTATAAAGCCTATTATGAGTTTTGCTTAGGAAAAAGGAGAGAGCTGTGTTTGCATCTGGTATAGTAGTGTGGTTTCACGCACGTAGAACAGGAGCATTGTTTGGGCCAAAGTTTAAGGGTGAATATAGAGGAAGGCAGCTGTTTACAGAGGCTGAAAGTCTTTGTCTTTATTGCCCTCACGTCAACTATGCATAAAGGGGCAACTCTGGGACATCAGTTTATTCAAAGCAATAATCATATAATCAAGCAAATTACAGTGTTGATGCCGAAAATAAACGTCTCAGTGAAAATGAAAGAATCTGAATCCTTCTGGGAAAAAAAAGTGATTGACTTTATGTCCAGTTTTTTTTTTTCTTTGAAATATCTGCAAAATTGTACCTATTTTTTAAACTGGACAGAGTGCCAATACCATTGCCAGCGACATTCTGAATAGTTGATATTCAACAGATCTGGTATTATTACTTTTTGCTAAATAAGGGGAGGAGAATTTGAGAATTATTTGTTTGGATCATTTGGTTGTCATCTGCGCTCGACCAGTATGGGTTTAATTCAATGGTTAATGGCAATAATGATATCTAGAAAGCAGGGTGGCAGATGACCAATATCATATTGATATTTATACATGAAACAATTTAATAGGTTAAATATTGCCAAATTTCATTTGATACAATACACAATGCAATACATACGTCATGATTCACTACGTTACGCTGCATCACAATATCAAAATCGGATAGTGATTCAAACTGTGACAAACTGCTTCTTCAATAATTAAACTTTTTTTAAATGGTATGAACGAACACATGAGATCCTGGAATAATGATGTAATGAAAAATACTATGATACACCAAACATTAAATGATTAAATGATTAATTATTAATTCAAATTATTCATAAGCAGGGCTGTGAGCCGTTTTTGAAACTGACATTGTTAACTTGCAAGCAGAGACTCTACTGGCCAATGCTGATTATCTCAAAAAGTCACAATATCGGCCAATTAACGGGCTTGACCAATATATAGCTTTATCACTACTAGTCATAACACATCATTCATTCAGGGTCAGAGTATCCCGCTCTGTATATATCGGAAAAAAAGCAAACTATTTCTGAAAATAATCCAAACCAAACATCTAGGCTGGGGAGCCGAATCAACAACGCATTACCACTGATCCATACTTTCATTTCAACACAAAGGGATCAGACACCTCACTGTCCTGTAGAGGGTCCACAGCCACGAGGGCCATACAAAAAGCATAGACGCAGTACAAAGAGCTCAAATACTTTGAAACAGTAGTTATCACAACAGAGGTACTATTTCTTTCTGGTACAAAAGATGGGAGTTTATGGGAGTTCAAAATAAAAGGTTGACAGATTGATAGAGAGCTCTTGCCTCGCCCATCACAGTCCTGCCATGCAAATGGAAAGGAGCTCAGTGAGCCCTGATATACTTAAATCAATAGTTATTCAATTTGGAAAGGTGCAAATATTTGGGTTTGACAGGATAATCTGGTCATGCTTTCCAACTGGCAAATCACAAGTGCTATAGTGAAGACTCCCTTGAACTGAGCAAATAGTAGGTTCAGAATCCCTTGCACAACTCTCTGGAGGTCAAAGCATGAACTGCAACCTCCTGTTTAAAATAAAATGTATGAAAGCATGCACTATAAAAATGGCATTACCCAAAAACCATCAAATATTTAATGAAGGCGTTTAAAATCGATTTATCTTTCGAAAAATAAATAAATAGGTAAAACAAGAGATTCCGCATTCATCCCAGACGCATGCATCCCATTCTGTGCACCCATCCGCATACAGGTATAATGCGAGTTTAATGCTTTTCTATGCAATACAGTAACACCATAGTAAATGAAAGGCGTTTGTTTAAGTCTGGTTTTATTTATCTTACCAGTCGGTAACCGAGGTCTCGTTGATAACGTCCTGGTAGGCTGTTAAGAGGGCCAGTCTGTTCTTGCTGAGATTCACAGCCATGTTGCTGCCACTGCAATCATCCAGACCAGTGCAGCAGCGATGATGAGGAACGCGAGAGTCACTGCGGAGCGCGAGAAGAGGAGGAGAGATGTTGCACGCTGAACAAAGAGACGCTGCTGCTGCTGCTCTGCTGCGCTGCGCGGTCCTAGTGCCCCAGCGTTCCGACCGTTCTAGGCAATGTCGCCAAACCCCTCCCCTCAGAAAATCTCTAGAACCACCCTCGAAAGTCTCCATTTTTCACAAAAAGTCGCCAAATATGAAAACACAGTAAATACAGGCAAACTTGGTAAAGGTAAAGGAAAGTAAATATAGATATATACTTTACAAATGATGACAGTATAAAAAAATATAACAAAAGATTAAGTATAACAAAAGATTCTGAAGTGAAATTAGGAAATGCTTGTGATCTGCAAGCACATCAGACATGATGGAAATGATGAAAAGACACATAATGTTGGGAATTGGTTTTATGTGTCACCAACGTGCATCCCTGTCCTGCTCAAATACAACGGATAAGAGATATTATGATTCTCCAAAAACAAAAACTTTATTCATACAAACTTATTTCAGTCAACACACTCTATTACTACAAAGTAAGTGCAAAATACTGCATCCCAGCACACATGACGCGATGATGCACTGTGTCTCTCTCTCAGTATCTGGTTGACATGACTGTGCGTGAATTGTGGTATAACTTTTGTGTCCGTGGTTAAAACAAGATGTTCATTTTTTTTCTCCGCCATCTTGATTGATGCTTATAATGAAATTGTGCGTCATGGCAGGCGTGGGGTACTGCTGTGTTGACTGCGCAGACTCGTTGGCATGATTGAGAGCAAACGTGAGAGGCCACGGGCCTACGGCAGGGTGTGGCCAAGTAAAAAATAAAAAATCGCCAAAAAATCGCTAGTTTTATTTAAATATAGCTAAAATAGCTCCTTGTCGCAAAAAA